CCAACCACTCTCATGCCATCAATGAGATATGTTGCTTCGTAAGCCCTGGCTGTTCTGAGTTTAATTGTTGTTTTAAGGCCGCGTCATAGCTCAAGCGGTTAGTCGCTGGCTTCCCACCGCGGCGGCCAGGGTTCGAGCCCGGGTCCGGTCAAGTGGAATTTGTGGTAGACAAAGCGGTGTTGGGGCAGATTTTCTCCGAGTACTTCGGTTTCTCCTGTGAATCTTCATTCCATCAAAGTTTCCATCATTATAATCACCCGGGGCAGGTACAATAGGCCAATCAGTGGCCGACTTGCCGAGTGGGCCCAACTGGACTCCACCCCCACTATGAGAATTAAAAAAAAAAATGTTGTTTTAGAAGGTCAGTGAATAAGCATGTCTTATTCGCCACCTTTCAATAGTTAAAATGTTTCAGAAATAATTATTACACAAATTTTAAATTGGTATGAAAATATTATGACAGTAGATTGGTTATTTATTAAGTTTGGGTCTTGGTGACACTGATATTAGTTTGAGCACAATGGGTATTGCTTCCGTAGTTTCCAGATGTGATTTTATTTATTGGCCAAGTTAGTTGGGGCACTAATGAATATAGAATTCAGTTTTGTGAAAAAGAAAATGTGGGAGCCTCGACGTCTCACAACCCTATGGCCCTTCAAGGCCTGTTACAGAGATATCTTTACCTTCATTTACTCAGTACGAATTATATAATTCTTACCGCATAGCCACAGTCGTGAATGTACTCGTACTTACTAAATTCTTATTACTTTTGAAATTACACAGGTTTCTTTGTTTTATCCTTTGTCTTCTTGCATATGTGCGTTTGTTTATTCTTTGCTCTTTTTTGTCTTATATTTTGCCTTTGGTCTGTTGAGTAAGCACATAAATTAATAAAGAATTGAACTGAATTACGCACTACTTATGAGGTTAATGGAACCCCCCTATTTTCAATTTAGATATGTCATGATTGCGATAAAACGGATTGTTGGATAATTTAAGGACGGTTTCGTAATTCTTCAATTATGCAGAGTCATAGGCTATGGGATGTAAATGATGAATTCTAACTAATATGGAAGAAAGCGGTCTTCACTTATTTGAAGGTACTGTTGCAACAACTGAGAGCCGGAATAGCATAGTCAGTATCGGTTGGTATAGTGACTGGCTACGGGCTGGATGACTAAGGGGTCGGAGTTTTAGTTCCGGTGCGAGCAAGAATTTTGATCTCTCCATGTCGTCAAGACTGGCTCTAAGGCCCACCCAGCCTCCTATCCAGTGGGTACCGGCGACTCTTTCCTCGGGGGTAAAGCGTCCGGGTCGTGAAGCTAACCACTACCCTGTAGCTGGTGCCGAAGTCAAGAAGATGTGGATCGATACATCCACTCCCCATACATCTTCATGGCGTAGAGCTTAATTAGTTAAGCACAGGGACAAGTTCATCTTTTTTTTTTCCTTGGTACTACAGCCCCAGGGGTCCTAGGCCTACCTCCATGAACTTCTCCGTTCACTTCGGTTTTTCTAGATCTTACACATTCGGTAGGACTCCTTGGGCGGGTGATCAGCTCGTCACAAGGTCTCTACCTGTAGACAAACAAAAAAAAAAGACACACAAACATCCATGCCCTGAGTGAGATTCGAACCCACGATCCCGGGTTCCGAGCGAGCGAAGACAGTGCATGCCCAACTTGACCTTTACCTTTAGTATTTTAACATTTGTTTGGAGGAAGTGAAGAAGTTTACGATAATTTTCAGTTAGAATAATCGGATTTCCTGGCGAAATTCAAATCTAGGACCTCTCAGATACGAAGAACTAATCCTAATGACAACACACAATCTTCGCTACCGAATGAGCCATTCTCGACTGGATCAAGAGCATCAGGAGCACAATCAAGAGCGCGGATCAACACAACGAGGCCACCCTCCCTCTTTCTCTGCAGCAAACTTTGTACGTTTGAACGAAGTTCTCTGCAGCGAAGCTAGATCAGTCAGTCCGCGTCAGTCTGTTCAGCGAAATGAGCATGAGTGCGCCTGGTAGCCCAGAGCTGTTGGACGTAAGTGACGTTCTGCGCTTTTATACCATTAATTTAAATATAAACACTGATATACAGGGGCTGTACTCTCACGAATGGAATCTGTTTCTTCACGATGTGTATGTGTGAACGTATGATGGAAAGGTTTTATTTTGTTGCCTTCCGAAGTATTTAATTTACGTTGTTTACATTTCATATTAGAGGTCTACACTAAATCTTTTGGAAAAAAGAATTATTTTGACTCCTATCGGTGAGGTCATTGGATTTTTTTTCAATTGACCTAATCCTTCCTCCCGCACTATGACCCTGGGTTCGACTCAACCTCTAACAGAAATGAGTACCAGGAATTAATTAAATAATTTTCCTGGGGAGTAAAGTGCGGCCGGCGCGTTAGGCTGACAACCTTACCGCCATCTTTGAGCCGATTGTCTAAATAATGTGGGAGCCTCAACGTCTCACAACCCTACGGGCCTTCACGGCCTGTTACAGGGATAGCTTTGCTTTCTTTTTTTTTTTACCTATCGGTGTATAGCGTTGTATTGTATTGTATTACATACAATTCAAATAAGACGTCATAAAGTTTTATCAAAATGGTCTCATTGTACAAAGAAATTCGGACGTAACACAAAATATAGACCTTATTATGAGCCCCTTGTCGCTACTTCAAGCATGTTCTCGGGTTCGGGTATGAATATATTATACAAATAGTAGCGTAGAGTAGAAAATGGCTGGTCCTCCACTTTCTGGGTTGGACAGAGGGCTAGAAGCCCCTCATGGAATGTGTTTACATGTACGTATTTATTGCTGATCAGCTTTGTGAACAAGATGGTTAGGCGTACAAATGGTTCTACGCAATGCTGCATCTTTACTTTTAATTAGTTTTGCATTCCGTGGATTTTGTTTGCGATAGTCATTAAGGCCAATGAGAAATGTAGTCTGAAAGCGCGCATCTGGAAACTCCGTATTCTGCAAACTTATTTATACAAATGTGTCTACAGAATTTCACAGAACTATACCTACGTTGTAGTCTGTTCAGATTAACGCAGTTAATTTCAATTAATTATTCAGTCTTACGTGGTGAATAAAATGGTGGAGGTGGGGCACCTTAGTAAAGTAGGTGCTTCGTGCTGATCGACAGGAGTTTAATTCCCGGCAGGGAGTTAGGGATTTTTCTCTTCGCCAACGTTGTGTCCAAATCGACATGACCTATCAAGCATTTTGTCCGTTGGGTAATAGGGATTCTTTCACTTTGGAGGACGGGGAGAACGGCCGAATTCTGAAGCTGACCACACATCTGAGGTCTAGGTTGAATGGAGCTTTACGTCTATGTTCCCTATACGCCGCCATGGCTTAGTACTGAGGCACAGGGTAACCTTATCTTGATCTCGTCACTGAGTGAAATGCAAAAAGGTGTGGCAAAAGTCAAGAGCTAGGTAATTCCGAGATCCGACCCAGCGGATCGATCTCTACGTCATTTGACGATGCCGTTTCAGCTAGAGCATTTATTTAGCATTGTGTGAGACGAGAGAAGGATTTTCCTTCTAGTAAATTACATTCCCGGAAAATGGTCTTTCGTAACCGAAACATGTCGGCATTTTAACAACATATAATCAGTACAAGAAAATAAATTATATATATTTTGATGGTAATTTACATCATGTCCAAAAATTTAAAACTCTTTGCTTTAATGTCATTATATAAAGTAACCGCAAACAATAAAAACAAAAGAGGCGTAAGTAACTGGTCATCATATTATGCAGATGTACAAGGTGCGACAGTTTAATTCCAGGAATGGCCCTGTGAAAACAAAATTTGCTTACCTGTGCACTAGCGGCTGCTGTCGCCTTCAGAATACTCTCCTTGTGATGCTATGTACTTCGTGAGACGATGGTGCCACTGCCGGAAACAGCCTTGGAAATCGTTTTCCAGAACACCCACAGTAACGTGATCACGTTAAGCTGGATATCAGGAATGTCAGAAAATCTTTGTCCCATCAGCGATTTTTTTTTTTAATTTTGGAAACAGCCAAAAATCGCAGGGGCTAAGTCAGGTGAATAAGGTGGATGGTCCATTTTTGTAATTGATTTCTTCGCCAGGAACTCGCGAACTCTTAATGCATCATGCGCAGAGGCTCACGGCGGAGAATCCACTTGTCATGCCAGAGTTCGGGTCTTTTCTTCCGAACAGATTCCCATAACCTTGTCAGCACTTCCAAGTAACACTGTTGATTCACCGCTTGTCCTTGCGGAATTAATTCGTAGCGAACTATCCCCTTATGATAAAAGAAACACACAAGCATGGTCTTGAACTGCGAGTGAGACATGCCTGCTTTATTCGAACGAGGTGAATTCTGTGTCTTCCACTGCATGCTCTGGAATTTTGTTTCCGGGTCGTATTGAAGATACCGCGTTTCATCACGGATAATGACCCTATCAGACATCTCTGCATTGTGTAAAAGATAAGATGAAATATGAAGCCAACGTTGTTTCTGGTCATCTGTCAAGATTCAAGGCACCGTCTTTGCGGAATGTTTCCTCGTTTCCAAATCATCCGTAATAATCTGTTTCCATATTCATATTCAGTTCTTCTGCTATTAGTCTCACACCCAATGTTAGATCTGGGCGCACGAATGTTCGTAATCTGTCCACATTTTCACCTGCACTTTGCGTTTTTGGCTGCCCACTTCTTGGGTCATCTTGCACATCTCGCCCTTCCTTCAACTGCCTATGTCATTCAGAAACACTAGGTTTCTTCGTAGCGTATTCGCCATAAACCATCGTTATTCGGGATAACGTTTCACTAGCACTTTTAGCAAACTTCACACAAAACTTGATGTTTATCCACTGCTCCAGATTCTCGTCACTCATTTTCCCGCCAACAGTATACCGCGGACACGCGCTGCTTCCTCTACTGCTTGGGAACGAACTACTCATTTGGTTTGCCTCTCATGTAGACGCAAGAAGGAATATATCCAAACGTGCTTGGGTACATGAGTTTGCCTGACTCAACGCCCCAGCGACAAGATGCGGCGACTCCGGGAATTAAATTGTCGCACCATATAGACCTGCCTTATCTGTACGTAAGTTTTCCGAGCATCCTAGTTTCTGCTTCCTTGTATAGTAGAATATAATTCCACATTTTGGATTTGAGCACCCATAAGGTGGACTATTATATTTTGCCCACAGTGATGCACTTTATTTTTCCAAAGACGAGGCGAGGGAAGAGAAATATATTCCAAGTCCTCTTGCAGTGGGTTTACGTAGTCTCGAACTTGAGACTTTCTGCTCCTTGCCCCTAGACTAACCCTTTCCTGTGGAAAACTTTTGTGATGTCGGTGATGAATCATAAGGATCAGCTGACATATCACCTGTTCAATAAAGACATTGTAGGCCTGTCATGGAATTATATGCCAGATAGGCAATCACGTTTAAAAGCATAGCATACATAGGTTTGTTTACCGGCGCCGCCTCTATACGTAGTGTATACACTATCGTTTCAAGCCTTCTCCAAGCTGGTATAATATAGCCTATTTTTAGTGGTCTAATCTCCAGAGTGAGCAATTCGGATTTGATGGGAACATTTTCTGCGTTCCCTGCTCCTTGTCACTCCATGCGAGTGTTACTAATAACTAGGTCATTAACGAAGCAGTGGTAACTTACTTCATGTTTGTATTTCAGTATTCACAGTAATACCCCCCCCCCAAAAAAAGAGCTTGTTGGTATGGCGTTAACCCCGGAGACTTGTATTCGGGAGGTTCTCGCTTCGAATCTCTGTCGGGACACCGACCATCTTGACCGAATTTTTCGTGGTATTGCTCAATGCCTCCAGGTATATACTGGGACAGTACCTCGGTAAGACCACGACATCTTCCTTCCAAATTCTTTCCAATTCATTAGTCACCAGTCATCCTGTCATTCGACGCAATATAGTCAGAAATACTGACAGTGTCATAAAGTAAGCCACATACACATCATCAGTCAGCCTTTTCATCCATTTAGCTTATCTGCTAATCAGTAAACTAGTTAGCCACTTGTCCTGTCACTTAAAGGCACTTTCAGTTTCGCTTTAGCCACTCTTAAAATTGCCGTCCATTCTTTTCTATCTTGAGCTTTTAGTCTCCATCTCTCTCTCTCTCTCTCTCTCTTTTTTATGTCAGCGTCTACGGCTGCTAACCATCTCAACTGTGCTCTTCCAACTCCATGTATGCCTTCCGGTTTAGTGTTGGATAAACCTTATTTAGTTTCCACGGTTGCTTCCTTCGATCTGTTCGGTATATTTCTTTGGGTTTCTGAACATTTAAATTTTTTACGGGGCAGGTTTCTTAGTCCTGCGCTCAGTCTTCAATGCACCAAAGGCTTGGATTTTTTGTCGAGGTTTGCTGCCTTGGCCAAAAAATCACGTTTTAAGCTGCCGGATACTCGCCTCTCACCCCACTCTCTTCTGCTACACTCTGGACTTGCCAACAGACCATGCATCTAGAGGAGGCATTTCCAAGGTTTTTAAAAGTCACATTTATTGGGATCAATGTTCTACTCTGGGATCCAAGTTAGCCTTCGGCCCCACTTAATCAGTTACACGGCTACTTTGCTTTCTTGAAAAATAAGAAGAAGAAGAAAAAGAAGAAGAAGAAGGATACTGCTGTATTTTTCCAACAAACGAATAATGTGTTTACAGAACCCTCTGAATGGAACCTGCTGTAACAAAACGGTAGAGGTAGTAGAACCAATTAGAAATGACAGCAGTGTATGAAATATGAGTATAACGCCATCCTCATTCGCCATTCGTGTCAATGTTCCATTTATCTTAACGTCCTCATTTTCTTTTGTTTCGTATGTGGGAGGTCAGTGGTTCGAATTTCGGCCCGAAAACAAGCTCTCCTGACTGGGATTTCTGTGGTGTGCCTCACTTGTTCCGGCAAAATGGTCTAGTAAAGATAAAGGTAAAGTTGCCCCTGTGCTTAATTAATTAAACACTATTCCATGAAGGCATATGAGGGAGTGGATGTATAGATCCACACTTTCTTGGCCCTTGCAATAGTTGGAGGTGAGTGATAAACTCCACGCTCCGGCAGCTTTAAACCCGGAAAAAAACCCCTGGTACCCATTGGATACTTTTAAAACGATAAGCAACCATGTATTCCCAAATTCATGATTCATGGTCATCTACCTAGTCTCTATAATGTGAAAGCATCATCAGTTACATAAAATATCCCTCCTTTTCTCGGTGCTACAATTCGATTCGAGCCTTGGTTTCTCGTATATTAAGAGTTCCCTTCATCAGTATCGGGGCAAGCGGGAGGACTCCTTAAATGCAAATCAGATCATGTGAAGCTTCTGCCATGAGAATGGCAGTTTCTTCATGTTGCTACAGCTCCATTAGAGCCTTGGTGTCCTGTGCTGTGGGGGGTTCTTTAACTCAGTGGCATGACCTCACAAGATCATCACAAAGTCTGTGCTGTCACAGGGCAGATAATCTGGTAAACATCGATGACCCGAGCGGAATTCTAAAGCGTGTTGATAGGGTTTGTGCGCGTGAACTGACGCTATCCGCCACGATAGTGTTCATCGTGCATGAAGAAAATGACAAACACAATTTAATTTGCCTGTAAAGTTGTTTAAGATTCATATATAAAAAGTTCGTGCGTTTAATCTCCTTTTAACTAATGGACAGATGTGTGAGATTTTATGTTTGTACGGTTTTCATGTGTATAATTCCCAGAAGTTCGGATCTGGCAAAACAAGGAATGTAAATATGTGGAATAATATTTATAACAGTTATCAACAATTCTATGCAAATTATGGACTAAGCTAAAATTATAACTTTTTTTCCAAACATATCAAAAACCACGCCATGTCACGGTAGCGAATTGTGCTTGGAAGTAAAGCCTTTCTCTGACATTTTTGCACCTCTCATGTAAAGTCTGCCATACATTCGTGTATACTTGCGATCATCTGGAAACAGAAGGCCATGAAAATATTAAGTTGTAATGGAGATGAAGTGGTAAATTGGGGGACATTACGTAACCAGGGACATTGTGATTTACGCGGGTTGTGTAGTATTGTATGGGAAGTGGATTCAAGGTCATGCAGCCTGGATAGGGGCAAAACAATATCATATATAATTTTAGCGAGGAAACATTTTAGAAACGCATTATTTGGAAGATCTTAGGAGTAGATGGGGAAATAGCATTAAGTTGGTTTGAGTAAATATGTTATGGCGTGAATGCAACTGGCTCAGGATTGTGTTAAATGACGGACTGTGATAAGTTCGTTATCATTGTTAGCTTTTGGGTTCTACTACGAGATGGAAAATATTGCAACGTAGTCTTATATCGAAAATCTTTAACCTTTCAATGCTTAATTTTTATATTTTAACTTGTGGACCGTGTCTGTGGGTACTGCACGTTCGGTGAACCGTGTTTCGTTGTTTGGCCATCGGCACGCCGTAGGCTGTTTGTCATCATTGCACGTCTTCGAGGAGAAATCCATACGGCCACTGTTTCGTCTTGATCTTCTTGATGCAGATCTCTGCTAGGGAGGATGGGCTGTGGCACTTTACACATGCGACAGCGTGATTTCATGAGGAAGTTGTTGGACACTCAACCAGGTAACCAGCCAGCCTGGCAGGCAGTCTGCCAGTTAATGACCCTTTTATTCCCCCTAACGGGTTGATGTATCCGTAACGCTCTAGATTTATATACCGGAGATACTAGGTTCGAATCTTGGCCGGGATACCGGCTATCCTAAATAAAGTTTTTCGTGTTTTTTTTTCTGTCACTTGAGAAAAATGCTGGTCCAGTGTCTCGATTCGGCAACGACCACTTTCTTCCAAATTATTCCCAATTCTTTATTCACCAGTCATCCTACCATCTGGCGCCATATAGCTTGAGATACTGACAGTGCCATAAAATAAACCACACACACAGATGATGCTGTCAGCTAGTCAATCAACCAGTTAGCCAGCCACACAGTTAATCAGCCAGGCAAAGCAACCTCTCAGCCAGTTAGCCACCCATGCAGTTATGCAGCCATTCAGCCAACCAGTCAGTCATTGCACAATTTATCAGCCAGCCAGCTACTTAGGTAGTCAGCCACAGAGCCAAGTAGGCAGTCAGGCAATTAGTCTGCCAGCCATTCATTATACCTGGGCAATGCTGATTCCATATCATCTCTGCCAGTGGCAGGACAACCATATGTTTCCTGACTGTATTGTACTCCATAATCATTGATCCTTAATCTTTGACATTATATAAACTCAAAAAAATATAAGGCAGAAATTGAATATTGTAAATTATCTGCATTGTTTTTGTTGCTGAAACTGTTTGTAATATTTCAGATAAAGATGAAGGTTAATGAAAGAACACTTTGTACAATACAGTATGTAAGACTGGCAGGTAGTAACTGTGAATAGGGATGAAGACAGTTCTGGGAATTGGAATCAATTCTTATCAGACTAGAATTAAATTAATAGTTTCAACTAGAAAAAAAGAGCTTTGTTTTCATTTGATTTTAATTTAGTGTGAAATGTCAGCTTTACATTTTTGAATTTGTAATTTCCAAAGTGTAATTTTTTTTTTCAGGTTACAACGGATGATATCACAGATCCATTGTGTTCATCTGTCTCTCCTGTACAGCTGCATTTTGAGGACATCACATCTGCAGCATTCAAAATAAAGTCTGGTGTCCTAGTCACACCATGCATGGTGAGTGCCTGTAAAATTTGGAATGCTCTATTTTATGTTACATATTCAGATGACTTGATGATTTAGAGAAGTGGTTCCATACCTTTACTCTTCACAGACCAATAAAACAGGAGTGCTTTTCTGTGGATCTCTGCACTACCTATCTCACATTTTATGGTAAAATAATAATCTCCCAATCTAATTATTGTCATTATTACTTCTAAATATATTCATATATTATATACCATTAATTATAGTTTTAGAATGGGGTACTGAAATCTGAGAGATGTCATGTTGCTCGCGTTGATCATTCACAATTACAATTTAAATATGGGAAAATGGAACAACTAATTTATTGGATGTGTCCATCTCATAAGAACTTGGGATTTGTAGCACAGCTCGGCCTCCCCCTTTCTGAGGGCTATGGTGACTGACACTAAAAATCCAAGGGTTCTTCATCATCATTTGACTGGTGGCGCTATCTGGGTTTGATGTAAGTAAAGGGAGAGAGAACAAGAAGCAGTCATATTCGTCATAAGCAAATTGCTGAAAGTATGTACAAGAAAACTGAGGGAGATAATTTATTGTGAAATAGTAATTTGTGGGTCCACAGTGGCCCATGGGCCAGCTGTAGAAAAACGCTCATCAAAGGTTAATTGAATTGAATTTAATTGAATTTATTTACATTCTATAAATCCTAAGCAGGTTAGTACCTTTGGATGGAGAACTGCTGGACTCCACTTCCAAAAGACAGAATCAGGACTTGCAAGCTGCGATTTCATTTATATTGCATGTCATCTGAATTCATCGCCTCTGGGAATACTTTAAACAGTTTTGTTTTGACACAACATTACAATTATATTCAGTGGATATTTTAAACATCAAGAAACACGTTATTCAATAAATCAGATGAGGAGGGATGCCAATATGAAAGGTAACAAGATTGAAATTGTGCAATATGTACCAAAATGCACACATTGGTAGATTCCAAAACACACATAGTTTATTTGTTTACTCATTCTGCATATTCTTCGCTCTTTTAAAATTCTTGGTGCTCCTGTTTGTTCCAAACAGGGCCTTTCTTCAATGGCCCTGCGCTCACTTTGTGTATTTTTTCCATTATATGATGGAACTAACTCTGCTCCCTGAGAAGAATATTTATGTTGCAGTGTGTAGAGCTTTGAAGCTAAAAGACTCTTTGGTATGGTTACTTTGGTTACTATGAGTAATATTACAATGGTTTTTATTGCTTACTATTGTTACATTGGTTTCTGTGCACTTTGGAATTTATGCTAGTAATAGTAATAACTACATTTCATCAATAACTCTGCAGTGGTTCTCAACTTGGAACATGTAAATGGACAGACAGGTATGGCATGACCTGCCCTATATGCATTTCTCTTGATTTGCAGACATTATGTTCACATCATGAGAAGAATATGTAATAATATGGCAAGATCTGTTACATAATTATATTCAAGAAGAAACATATGAAATAAATAACATGGCAACAATTGTTAGATAGATCATATTAATGAAAACTTTGAGAAAAATAATGCAAGAATTATTATTCTAAACCTATGAGGGTGATGAAAACATTACTAAAAGAATAAGAGGAATAGTGGATGAAGAATTAGGTGCCTTCCTGCAGTTACTTTACTTAATATGGAAATAATTCATCATGCATGAACTGTCAAAAGAAAACAACTACTTTAATTATTCATGATCAGAAATAGCATATGCACATACTGTGTAGACCTATTACTTACTGTACCAGTTATTCTCAATAATAGACTAAGCTATTTTGTAGAGTTGCATCCAGCCTGTGCAACCATACAGATAATCACAGTATACCATCGAAGAAACAATAAGATAGGTTTGGCTCCACAACAGGTCTTTGTCTTATACTTACTTACTTACTCATGGAGCTGAGCCCTTCTGGAGGAGCCGCCAATTCTGCAGCTACTCAAGAATTTCCCAGCATTTTATGGAACCAAAAGGTTCATGACTGTGTTCACAAGAGCTCTCCATGGGACCTTATCCTAAGCCAGATCAATCCAATCAATAACATCCCATCCCATCTCCCTAAGATCCATTTTAATATTGTCCACCCACCTACGCCTTGGTCTTCACAATGGTCTCTTTCCTTCTTGCATTCCCACCAGTATACTATACGCATTCTTTGTCTCCCCCATTCGTGCTACATGTCCTGTCCACCTCATCCTCCTTGACTTGATCATTCTAATTATGCTTGGAGAAGAGTACAAGTTATGAAGCTCCTCATTA